CCCTGTGTCCTGTCCCTCCATCCCTTGTCCCCAGTCCCTCTCCAGCTCTCCTGGAGCCCCTTTAGGCCCTGCAAGGGGCTCTGAGCTCTCCAGAGCTGTCTCTTCTCTGTGCCCATTCCCAGGCAGAACCCAAAAAGGTGTCTTAAAACAGCTCTGGAAAACACCTGGAAGCCCTGGTTTGGTGAGGGAGGGGCAGATGTTGGGGCACAGCAGCTCCTGGGGTGAAACTCATGGCTGGAGGTGCGAGGTTCAGAGTATTCCCCTTGTGAGAACTCGTTGGACGCAGGTACAGAGTGGTCTGTGGTTACAGAAATCGATGGATTGCTGGGCTGGAAATGGGTGGAATGATGGATTGGAAATGGATGGATTGATGGATTGGAAATGGATGGATTGATGGGCTGGAAATGGATGGATTGATGGGTTGGAAATGTATGGATTTATGGGCTGGATGTACCCATGGGTGTTGCAGGAGGATGTGGGGCCAGGATGGGTTTGGGGACTCTGGGTCACAGCCCCAGTCCTGACTCTTTCTGCCCTGCTTTTCCCCACAGGCATCTCCTCTGTGCCCAGTCTACTTGGAAAGGTAATTAATGCACCTCAGGTGGGTAATTAATGCACCTCAGGTGGGTAATTAATGCAGCTCTGTAGCAGAATCACCTAAATATTAACAGGACTTTGTGGCTTGACCTCTGTGGGCCAGCACTGCAGGAGCTTTGCTCTGCTGAGCCCAGCACTGGGATCCTGCTTGGAGGCCAAGCACTAACTCAGCAAAACCCCGAGGAAAAGTGATCCCAGCAGGATGATGATCCTACCCCCACCCGCTTGGGATCACCCCAAAATTGGGATTAAAACCCCACTCCAAAAGTGAGACCTCACAAGCCTTGATCCACATTCCCAGTTTGCACCAAGATCCAATAAGGTAATTCCCAGGGATTTTTTCTGTCAGGAGAAGCAAGGCCATGGACAAGACCTGGAAAAGAGCCACCAGTGACAAGAGAGGAGAATTGCTGCAGGACTCTGAGGAAAACCAGAGGCACAGCAATCAGGTGTGTGCACACCTCGAGCTCCAGCTTGTCTCTCTTCCGTGGCAAGAGAAGCCTCACAGGAAGGACTTGGCTTTCTGATGCCACCTTGTGTCTGCTGCAAGTATGAAGTGACATTTCAGACCCTGCCAGTAGCTCGTTCTGACTCAAAAAGCTTCTTTTTCAACCAAATTCCCAATTCTGCAGCCTCTATTCCCATGATGTCTTTCTACAGGCTCCTGTTTCTTCCCCGGAGCAGGGATGGGATTCTGGAGATCAGGGTCCCTGTCCCAATCAACATTTGGCCAAATTCTGGGGAGGGCTGCGAGTATTTCTCAAATCCCAGGAAAATCCTGGTGTTTTCCTGGTGTGTTTGTCAAGTCTCATGTCCAGAGCTGCAATGACTGTTCTGAGCAACTTAAATAAAGTAAAACACTGTCACTGTCCCCAGGGAGTGACCAAGGACAGGGGTAGGGGCTCCTTCATGGGAAATTTTGCCTCTATCTGGTTTTCCTGGCACCATTTCCTCCAGCTCCAGGCAGCAGCTTGGACACAGATAATCCAACATCTTCAAAGGAGTTAGGACCTCCCGGTGGAGCACAAAATTTGTGGAGATTACAAAGGCTGGAAACATTTCTATGAATCCCAGGTCTGGTCAGACAGGCAGGGAAGAGCAAAGCCAGCCAGGAGCATCTCCTCTCCATCACCTGCAGCTCCTGGGGCACCTGGAGGGGCAAATGTCGTCTTTTCCACTCCATTTTAATCAGCTCATCAGCAACAGGCGCTGACAGCACGCCAGCTAAGAGGTTTATGTCTGTTATTCCCTAAGGATTAGCCTTTGGAATCCAGGAGAGGGAAATGGCTGCATCTCCAGCTCACTGAGGGTGTCACACCAGAGATTCCCTGAAAAATTCTCTCCCCAAAATGTCCTGCTGCTCCACCAGTATTTACTTGCACAATCCAGGGACCTTTTCCTTTTTCCCTTTCCTTTCCTTGCCTTTCCTTTTTCTTTCCTTTTTCCTTTCCTTTCCTTTCCTTTCCTTTCCTTTCCTTTCCTTTCCTTTCCTTTCCTTTCCTTTCCTTTCCTTTCCTTTCCTTTCCTTTCCTTTCCTTCCAGCCTGAGGATCCCATATGGCCCCTATAGGATGGGGGGATGCCCTCCCAACAGTCTTGGTGGCTGTGTGGATTTGTGCTCGAGCCCTTAGCTGTGTGCACACTTGGGGAGGAGCCCAAACAGCAAACCCTGACCCTAAAAATGTCCCAAAAGCTTCTTGTCCCCGTTTGACCCCCTGGAGCCGTCCGGGGTGCTCCTGCTCTCCGGGGTGGCAGCCGTCACCCACGCACGGAATATCTGCTTCTCCCCAGGCTGTGACAATTCAATTATCCCAGATTTCCCGCTGGTGGTGCTGGCCAGTCCCGGGGCTCAGGGACACGAAGGTCACTGATGGGACATCACCGGGGCTGCCCCAACATAAATCAGCACGAAACTCCCGTTCGCAGCTCCGGGAAGCGCCGAGCTCGATGTGATTTGTGCACGTTCCGTGTTTCTCCAGCTCTCACGGTGTCCCTACAAACCACAGACACTTTGGGTCTCCGCAGGATCCCAGCTGCAGTGGGATGGAAGGATTGGCACGGGAATGTCACCCTTTACCTGCCGTGTCCCCACCCTGTCCCCCACCCGTGTCACCCGGCTGCGCCCAGGGCCCGCGCGGTGCACAGGGTGGCACTATTGCCTTAAAAATCCCGGCTGGCCCCCGGCAACGCCGCTTTCCTGGGCTGGTTCCCCGCAGCCGTCCCGGCCCCGCGGAGGGAGCCCCAGATCCATCCATCCGTCCCAGCCCCGTGCTCCGGCGGGCGGGGATGAGCCCGCACTTTTCCCTGGGGATTTTCCTCTTCCAGGGTAACGCCGGGAGTTTCTGCCCGCGGTCCGGATCCTGCCGAAGCGCCCCGAGGGCAGATGTGGGACACTCGGGACCCTGCACTGAACCAACATCGTGGTTTCTCCCGTAACATCCTCCCAAACCTTCCAGCTCTAATCATTCGAGGATTCCGCGAGCATCCCAAGCGCCACTTCCTCCCCACGAGCATCCCTCCGCCCCTGCACAGCCAAACATCCTCCCCGCAGCCAGCGCTGCTCCAGGAGCTCTTTTAAAAGCTCGGTTCCCCGCTGCCCCAGGATGGAGGAAAAGCATTCGAGGATGGGTTATCCTTGGGAAAGCAGGATACCGGGGAGACAACTGCTGTAAAACGAGCTCTGATGACGCCAGGAGCCGCTTGAGCCCAGTATTATGCACAAGAGCTCGTGGGATGGCGATGCAGCTTTTCCTGCTCCTGCGCCACCCCCGATCCGACGGCTCTGACTGCTGCAAAGCCCCGGAGGGTCTGCGGCAGGAGCGGCACTGGCAATTCCATTTACGATTTTCCATTCGATTTACGGCCGCTCGAGGTGTCCCTGTGACATCCACTGTCACCGCCGGGGCCAAGGGGCTCCTCCCTGCCGGGCCTCAAAAAAACAAAAAGTTTTCAGTCCCGCCGCTCGCAGCTTTTCCAACAGCAGCTGCTCCGGACGGGGATGGAAATCCCTCCGGAGCAGCCCGGCAGGCTGGCAGGGCTCAGGGTTTTCGGGGTGAGCTCGGCACCTCCTCCCGGTGCCGCTGCCGGTTCCTCACAGCCCCGGAGGTCGCCACCGCAATCAGCAGCGCCGGGGCTCCTCTCGCCGCTCACGGGGGAACGAGCTCCGGCAGGACCCGCGGGGTTTTTGGAGTTCAAGGCTCCCAAAGAGCAGGGTTAACCCTTCACCTGCCCGAGCAGAGCTGCTGCCAAGGCCGGGTCACCCAGGGAGCGCCAGGAGCTTTTGTGGAAACGAGCAGGTTCTTGGGGATTGCTTTTAGGGAGAAACGTTTCAAGTGGAGGAAAGGGGCTGGAAACTGGTTTCTGGTTTTCACAGAATCATTTAGGTAGAAAAAGACCTCTGAGATCCATCGGGTCTGAGTTTTGACTGATCACCACCTCCCTGGGCAGCCCCTTCCAGTGTTTTCTGTGAGGAAATTCCTCCTGATGTCCAACCTGAATCTCCCCTGGCGCAGCTCGAGAGCGTTTCCTCTCGTCACTGCAAGTCCAAAGCCTTGGTTAGTCCCAGATTTTATGGCCCTGCTCCCTCTGTGCAGCGGTGCCATCGTCCCCAAGGACACCTCATCCTCAGGGCCTGGGGACCACCGTGAAAGCCCCAAACCCGCCCTGCAAAGGAGAGCTCGGGAGTTGGTTCCCTCCCAAAAATCACAACTGAGGAAGGTTAACTTTTCCCTAATCCCCCTTTCTGCAGCCTTGCAGATGTTCTGTGTCTCTTGGCAGGGGCCGAGCCTTATCTGATGGTGTCGTTTCCACGGCGCAGATCAGAGGGCTTTGAAGGCATCGGCGGGGGAATGTCAGGGCTCGTCCCTCCTGACGGATTCCAGGTGGGATTTGGAGCTGGATTATGTTGCAATTCAGGGCCTCGAGGGATTTTTTCAGCACCTTCTCCCAAAGGCAGGAACCCTCTGCACTGAACGGGAAGCAGAGGAGGATACGTCTATGCCAAACAGGAACATCAATATATTTATATTTAAAATACTGCATTACAGCAGCTTGGCAACCATCTGGCACTGCAGATCCATCCTGCTTCGGCTTTCCCACCATTTCAGGTATCAGGATAGCTCCAAACTGCTGAGCATCCCTGCAGTGGGAGACCCTGGAAATATTTTAAGCCAGCTCCTGGGATGCAGAGGCTTTGAGACACATTCAAGAGCTGCAGGGGGAGGCAGGAAATGGGGGCAGGAAGCCAAGGGGGATCTCATAAAACCCAAACTCCAGGAGATTTGGGAGAGGAGAAAATGGCTTTCCCTGCCCCGTGGGACTGAGGGGGAACAGCAGCAGGATGTGGGTGCAGGGAAGAGGTGGCAAACAGGTGCAGGCACTGAAACTGGAGACTGACTATCAATCCAAGGTGTCTGGAGCGTTATCACAAAAACCAGTCGGACCGGCAGCCGAGGGCGTTGGAAACGCGGATCCCGGCCGGTCACGCTCCAGGGCTGCCGGTTTTATCCCACAGGGCTGGAGCTCTGAGCTGGAGATAACTCCTAAAAAAAATGACTTTTTTAAAAAAGATCCTTCTATTTCCATCTATTTTGTTTCAGCCTTTTGTCACCAAGGATTTCTTGGAGCAGGTTCAGATTGGATTTTAGGAAAGAATTGTTCCTTGTGAGGGTGGGGAGGCCCTGGCACAGGGTGCCCAGAGAAGCTGTGGCTGCCCCTGGATCCCTGGAAGTGTCCAAGGCCAGGCTGGATCAGGGTTTGGAGCACCCTGGGATAGTGGAAGGTGTCCCTGCCCATGGCAGGGGAACAGAATTACGAGATAAACTGAAGATCCCTCCCAACCCAAACCATTCCATAATTCGATGATTTTGTTGTCTTTAGGATGAGCGCATGGCCAGATGCTCTTCTCCCTTCAAACTGGAGAATAAATCACAACAAGGGCACGAGCTGGCAGAGCTGAGACAAAAACCAGCCCCAAAACAGGCACCGGGGTGTTAAGGTGCGCCAGGAATGCGATCGTGACTAAAACACCCCCAGCCCTAATCCCAGCCTGGGGCTCTGAACTGACCTCGCTGCTCCTCCAGCTCCTCCCTCACCTGCAGCTCCTTAAACCTCCTCGGGAGGGCCAAACAAGCTGCAGGTGACTCCATCTCCTCCCCACGTCCTGCATGAGCCCCTCTGGGAGCCGGCAATGCAGCACAGAGGGCAGAGAAATGCTGTCAGCTCCCACTCCCCACCCTGACGGGTTTAGCTGCGGGGAACCCTCCCGGACTGCAGGAGATCACATCTTTTGTGACTTCACAGCTTGTCACTCACAACCCACCAGAGTTTAAATTCAGGGAAGATGGAGCAGACCAGCAACTCCTGAAGTTTCATCCCTGAACTATTTATCTACCGAGACCTAAACCAGCAGCAGTAATTAGTGAGAGGAGTTATTTCATCACCAGCCATGCGAGGCTCAGCAGAAGGCTTCCAACCCAAAACAACCGCGTATCCGCCCAGGTGCCAGACAGCTCCTCCAGATAAATCAGTCATCCTGTCCTCGGGTTGGATTTGGCAATAAAAAATCCCAGACATCCCTGGCATTGCTGCTCCCAAACCTGTTTGCTCTGCGCTCCTCTCTGCCCGTGAAACGCTGCTGGTTTTGAGAGGGCTGCTCTCGTAAAAGGGCGGAGCAACCCAGAGCCCGAAATTGTGTTTGCTGGAAGGGTGCCCGGCGTCCACGAGTGCAGATGGTGGAGGCAGATTAAGTCTACAAAGTCTTTCTTCAAATTCAGAGAGCTGCTGGCCAGAGTAAAACCTGATATTTAATTATTTAACCTTTATATCTCAACTGCTGCTCAGCCGGGGGTTTTTAAGGGGGGTAGGATTACACCCGCAGGAGAAGAATTGAAAACCCGTTGCCAGGGTTTTTCCATGGTTTTATTAAAAACTTCCAAAGCTCTAAAATGAAAATGTACACCAACTACAATGGAACCAGTTTGTACACTCACAGTTAAAGTGCTAAAAATTAAACGTTACAAAACCCACACTGGACTACTGTAAACAAGTCTAGCAAGAGCCGAGTGCGAGTGGGGTCAGCCTCGGGCAGGGACTGCCCCACACATTCCACCACGCAGGGATCTCCCGGGAGCGCCTTCCCCTCTCCTGAGGAGCTGGACGTTGTCTCAACAACGGGAAGGGCTGGGAGAGGCACCGGGCCCACCGGCAAAACCCGGGAGAACCCTGCGCCTCGGGGACCATCGATCCCGTCTGGAGAGAAGCACGAGGGGAGAGGGGTAAAGCTTCACATTCAACTGGACATTCTGCTGCTCGGGGTGGAGCTGGGGATGTCTCCTCTGCTCTGTGCCCTGGTTTCACCGCACAGACGGAGCTGCCTGATGCGTTTTGGGATCCTCAGTGCGCTGGAGCTGGGCTGGAGAATCCCCCCTGGCCTGGGCCTTCTCCTCGTGCCCTTCCTGAGGGATTTTCCCTTCCCTCCTTGCTGGAACAACTCGGGAGCGGTGCTGGACTTGGCCATGCCCGGATTTCAGCCTCCCAGTGCCATCCTGCGCTCACCACTGACCCCCCTGGAGCTGGTGGCTCAAGGCTTCCAGCACAGAATCCGGGATTTGTGCTGGAACACGACAGTGAGAACACAAACGCACTGACACCTGAATGTGGCTGCTTGCTGCTCTTGGGTTGTTTATGCCTTAAAAAAGAGGAGCGGCCTCCTCCATGCAACACGACCGCAGCTCCGATCGGGGACGTTTCACGGGAGCTGTGGAGGGACTGAGAAAGAAGGAACAGCACAAACTCGGGGGGATCTGTTGTCAGCGCAGTCGGGAAAAGAGGAGCTGGAGATCCCTGGGGATGCTGGGGATGAGGAGTCGTGCGTTCTGCAGGAAGCTCTGACGGAGCAGTTTCACCGAGCGGAGTTTGGGGCTGCAGCCATGGTGGGGGGCAGAGGGATGGAGTCTGGGATAACTGGAGCTGGAGAAGCCAGGCCCTGTGCAGCCTCCCTGCCTGCTCCCTGCGAGAAGGGACAGAGGATGCAGCTCCTGGTGGCAGCTGGGGAGGGACAAAGCGCTGCAGGACACCCGGGGAGCCCCGAGCACTTGGGTGACTGCAGAAACGCCCTCCTGGCCAGGGGTTTCAGCTCGGGGGGAATTTAAAGCTTGGCACCGATCCCATAAACCCGGCACCTGGGCTGGAGCTGGCAGCAGGTAGGAAAGCAGCCCAAAACCACCCCTGGTGCCCCTGTGGGACCACATTTGAACTGGAATGGCCTTCAGAGCTCCTGGCCAGGATGATTTGGGAGCTGAAGCCCTGTGGACCCCAGCTGGGGAGCTGCAGCAGGGCTGGGACACTCTTCCCTGGCTGAGGAATGCTCTTCCCGGGAGGAACGCTCTGCCAAGAGAACACAGCGCGCTGGCTCAGGTGTTGAAGGGAGAGGGGAGAGGGCAGGGAGACAAAAAGCCCAGCCAGAACTGCAGTTTGAGGTATTATCACCTCCCTGGGGTGACAGGAGCCTGTCCCTTTAGCACCCATGAGCAAGGAATGACTTGGATATTCCCATCTGGAAGCAGTACTGGGACTGGGCCTCACAAATTAACAACATTCCCAGCAGGATCCTTCTCCAAGCTCCATCCTGTCCAAGCTCCATCTCCAAGTTCCTCTCCCTGTCTCCAAACAAGTCAAAGCATTGCTGCAATTTATAAAAAATAAAAATAAAAAAAAAAAAAAGGTACAGGAAATGGAGCCAAGAGGATCATTGTAAACCCTTGAGCTTATTTAGTTTGGTTCCAGTGTTTAGGAAAACTCAGCTTCTGCAGATCCGGATTCCTACCAGATCACCCCTCTGGGTCGGGAGGAGCTGGATTTGAAAACAGCCAAGGTTCCACCCTTGGGGTCTCCAGGGAGTTGAAGCTTCTCCAGTTGAAGTGAGCCCAAAGGATTTTGCAGAGCTGGACAGGTATCCCCGGGCCCCGGGGCTGTTTGCTGAGCAAACAGAGCCTGCTCTGCCCCAGGGCCCTGCCTGCAGCACCTCCCTCCCGGGCCCACAACAAAGAGCTTTGTTATTCCACGCTGGGCTCCGTTTGTCTTCTCCTCCGAGCCGAGCCGCTGAATTTGGGATAAATCTGTCTGGGAGCTCCCGGGGCAGCCTTTGATTCCACAGCACACAGGTTACGAGCTCTGCCGCTGTGTCATCGGCTGCAATTAAAATGAGTTAATTGTGGAGCAGCTCCTGCCCTGGCCCTGCCCTCGAGGTTGGTGCACAAAGGCTGCTCAACAAGGCTCCACCGGGTCAGGGAGGGAATTATGGAAGGACAATGCAAAAATAAGGATTCATTTCCCAGCAGTGATCTGCAGCAATTACTGAGGTAGGTTTGCACGCCAGCAGGGTTTCCTCGTGCTGGATCAATCTCCCCGGGAGGTGCTCCAGAAGATCTCCAGCACCATCCTCCAATTCTGCCTCCGGGGTATCCCAACGGATCCTTGCCACACACAAAACCAGCCCAAATTGAGAATTCTCTACCATGGATCTGCAGCAGGGGATGAAAACAGCCACAGCAGAGGTGGATCCGTAACCAAGATCCCTGAACTGCGGATCCTGTCTCCTCCTCAAGGAGCTCCCTGGGCTTCCAGCTGCCACATCCTCGTTTTTCCCCATCTGGGGGCAGCTCCTGCCTCAGCTTCTCCCAGCCATCTCTGGATTCTTGCTCAGCGCAGAGGATCCTCCCCAAACCGTGACATCACGAGGAAGGTGGGGAATCCTTGAATAAACTCCTCTGGTCCTCCTGGCCTCAGCTGCTGGGCTTTGTAAACAGGCTCAGCTCTGGCTGTGACAACAGGCTGTACATTCCTGCCTGGGTGACAAATTCAGCTTTTCTATGATAATCTTTTTTCTTTAAATAGATCGGGAACAGGCAATCTCAGCTTTTGTACATGACTCTAAAAAATAAATGGCTGAATATTATCTAGATAACTGCTTTTAAAACCCATCTCTTCCTACGGAAATTGTAAACGAGTAGAAAATTTAAATAGTCTTTTGTAAAAAAGCAAGGACAGTACAAGTTATAAAAAAATCGCTCTGCCCTGCCCTCTCTCTTCCCCCCACCCTGTGGACAACTGAGCCTGGCCAGCTCTGGGAAGAGCTGGTGATCCTCAGAGGAGTTTCCTTCTCCAGAACGCTCCTTCCCGTGGCGTTTCCAGCGTGACCGAACGCTGCCGGGTCACACAGACGTCCCTCAGGCAGCGCTGGACGTGTCCCCTCGAGGGAGCTGCACGGAGGGATTCCTTCAGCCAGCAAGAGTTCCCTCATCAGAACAACTCCCAGCACGGCCCCGCTGATTTCCGACACGCGGAGCCCACGGAGGGAGGGAGAGAGAAGGAAGGGGGAGATTGTTTTCCACAGAGAGTAAGAAATTCAGCAGTTGTGTCTGATGAGGAACAGTTATCAAATAAATAATTACCTCCAGAGAGGTTCAGAGGAGACAACCAGCTTTTTTACTCAGTGACTCAAGACAGCTCCGAGGCAAGTCCCACAGCAGAGAAGCCGACCCTGGCTTCCCGACGCCCGAATTCAGCACCTGGCGAGAGGCTGAGGGTAACACTGAGCGCGGAAGGAAGGCACCACGAGCCCTGCCGGCAGCCTGAGCCCTCGGAGCCGCTCAGGCGCTGGTGCCATCCTCCTCGATGACCCGGTTCATGCTGGTGCCGTGTGTGATGTGTGTCATTGGGTTGCTGCTGAGGTCCCTGACGCTGCTGTGCCGCGACTGCTCGTTGAGGCGGTGCGAGCTGCTGTGCCTGGAGTGGTCGGTCAGCCGGGACATGCTGCCGTGAGGTAGTCGTTCCTCCACGCCCCTGTAGCTGCAGGGAGTGTACCTGATTTTGGGGAAACAGAGAATGAGAGAATGCAGGTAGAGCTTTTGTGAGGAAAGGCATTCCCTGCTCAGCTTGGGCACTCTGCTCCTGCGGCCCCGGGCGAAGCGGTTCAGCTCCTCGCACAACAGACCTCGCTCGGTTCTTACTCCAGCACTGTCTGGTCCTGATAATTAGGGGAGTGAAACACTCCATGATTAATTACCCTGGAAGCCTGATCTCCACCTCAGCTCAGAGAGGGGAACTTGTCCCCTGTTTACTTGGGCAGGGAGTATTGACAGACACAAAATGGACTGACACCCGGACAAAAGCAGCCAGGAAGGTGCTGAGCTGACGTTGGGGCGGGTTTGTTTTCCCACACGGTGGAACACAGATCGCTCCCGTGCAGGGAAACCAGCCCTGCCGTGTAATTAATGCCCCAAGACCAGCAGTGACTCTGAAAACATCATGGCATTTTTTTCTCTTTCCAGGCACTGCCAGGGAGAGGAGATGCATCAGAACACCCAGTTTCAGCAGAATTACAGCCACACGTCTGGCTGGAAGGGGCCTGTCCCACCTCCTGCACAAGATTTGCCCAGTGAGGTTGTGGAATCGTTTGAGGACAGGTTGGAGGGGGCTTGGAGCAACCTGTGAGGGTGGAAGATGGAATGAGATGATCTCTAAGGTCCCTTCCCACCCGTGACGGCGCAGTTTCGGGGCCGCGCGTACCGTCCGTCCCGCGAGCGGTGCAGGCTGCCGTGGTAGCTGCTGACTTTGCTGTGGACGCTGCCGGCCTTGCTCCTCTGGTCATCCATCACGGCCAGCTGGGTGGACGAGGCGTGCGTGGAGGTGCCCTGGGTGGAGGTGCCCCTGGACTTGCGGATGATGGGGGTGTTGGGGTCCCTCAGCAGCGACTGCGCGAAGTCCGGCTCTTGCAGCACCTGGCGGCTCTCGTTGACGACTCTGAGCGGTTGTTGGAGCAATTAGCGTTAATTACCGCGGCAGGGAATGATCACAAACAGAACAAGGCTTGGCAAACCAGAGCGTTATTTACGGCCTAACGTCCCCGTTTGCCCGGTTTTGGAGCACCTCCCTGTCTGGTTATTCCAGCCCAGTTGAGCCCTTGAAGGATGCACCAAAGGAGTCACCAAAACATTCCTGCCTTTGTGGATCTGCTTTAAATCATCTTAAAGGACAATATTTATTTGGAAATCTACCCGTGGCTACCACGAAATCACACGGATTGTCTCTTAATTGATGCCAACCTTAATCTAAATTAATTTCAGCCTTACGGAAGCTCCAAGAAATTCTTGCTGTCACTTTATCAAACCTCTCTTCAGCACCAGTGCATAAGGAAGACTAAAAGCAGAGACAAATCCTTTCAGCTGCAACCACGGTGAGAGGAACCTGCGTTTAATTTCAATTTAGAGCTCTGATTCAGTCGGCTGGATGCACATTTATAAATAAAACGTTTCCATTCCACCTCTCAGTGAGAGGCAGAGTAGTTGCAGTGTTTATTTGATGCTTAATTCTTGTTAAAAACGAACTGAAGACAAATGTAGATTTGATTCTGGGAACAAAGAATAATTAGGGAGAAATGAGGAATTTTTTGAGCTGTTGCCTGTCTTGTCATTCCTTGCTCCATTCTGAAAAGTGATTTTTCCACCCACTTCTGCCTTTGTCTCCATTAAAACCAGCCCAAACTCTCTCCCAGGACAGCAAGGGAAGGGTTTATCTGTAATTATCCGTACTCACTCTTTTTTCCTGCGCCCGTGGAAGAAGCTGGCCCACTCAAAACAGGTCTTCTTGCTTCCCACCCAGAACACCGAGGGGATCCCGACCACCAAGGCCATCAGGTACTTCATGAGGAACAAAATCAGATCTGGACGGCTCATCTGGGTGACCTGGAGAGAGAGAAAAAGAGACAAAAGGAAGATTCTAGGACCCATCCTGGCTCACCGTTCGTTTTTGAATTTAAATCACCCCTCCCTGCCTGGAGCCAAAGCAAACACGGTCAGGATTCCTTTGTTCCCGGCTCCTCGGAGCGTGACCGGGAGCGCTGCAGGGCCCAGCGCTGGCTCAGACAAAAGGCTCAACTGCTGTGAGGTCCTGGCCTTTATTTGTATTTCTGGTCTTTTGTCCGTGCCCTGAATAACCGTGAAATATTTTCTAGTCTTCGAATCAGAAAGAGTCGCTCCTTTGATGGGATTAACACATACAGGACCAGGTGCTGCTGCGGCTGCTCTTGGGAAAAATGCCAGGGGAAGCTTCATGGATGGGCAACGCTGATCCTTTATTCCCTGGAGGGATTCCCTGTCTCCCTCCCTGGGGAATTCAAGGCTCTGGCCAGGTGCAGGTGCCTGGTTCTTATCAACCCTGCAAAAACTTCTCTCTCCAGGGAGATCTGGAAGTGGAAAACGCTCACAAGATCTGTTTTTCCAAACGTTTTTATACACCAAGGGTTTGCTCGGCAAAGAAGACAGAGGTTTTCTTTCCAGGAAGGTCCAAAACAAACACCCAGGGCCTTTCTGGAACCGATAACCCGGCTCAGAAACTGAACCTTTGGGGAGAGAGAACTTCCAGAGCAAACCTGAACGAGGCCACCAAGCTGGGGAGGGAAGGAAGAAACTCGGGGTGGTGACAAGTCCTCTGTCAGCGTTTGTGTGACTCCAGAATTCCAACAATTCCAGCGACTGGGAGAACTGGGATAAAGGCTGGGAGAGCTGGGGGTCACCTGGAGAAGAGAAGGATCCAGGGAGAGCTCAGAGCCCCTTCCAGAGCCTAAAGGGGCTCCAGGAGAGCTGGAGAGGGACTGGGGACAAGGGATGGAGGGACAGGACACAGGGAATGGCTCTGAAGTGGAAAAGGGAGATTTGGGTGGGATTTTGGGAAGGAATTCCTGTCTGTGAGGGTGGTGAGGGGCTGGGATGGAATTCCCAGAGAAGCTGTGGCTGTCCCTGGATCCCTGGAGGTGTCCAAGGCTGGGCTGGATGGGGCTGGGAGCAGCCTGGGACAGTGGGAGGTGTTGGGGCTGGAACTGGATGAGTTTTGATCTCCCCAATTCACTGTGATTCCATGAGCTCAGACACCTGCTGGCCACAAAACCACTTGGCCTTTAGCAGGAGCCTCCCTGAGCTTTTTGTCACGGCTGAGGGAGGTTTCCAAACCACCTTGAAATATTTTATTTTCTCAGGAGATGAGGGCTGAGGACAGGAGGGAAGGCGGAGGACGAGCAGCAGATCCGTCCTGATCCCAGCAGAAACAAACTCGGTGCACAAAGGGAGAAGGAGGACCCGCGGATGGCTCCAGGACTGTGGCCCATGGAATCTTTCCAACATCCCAGAAGCTGCTGGAGAAGCTGCTGGTGCTCTGTGAGGTGAGGGTGAGGCTGGAATACTCTGGGAATTCGTAGGGAACAGCCAGCCCTCCCTTGCAAGAAGCTGCTGTGGCCCAGAGGGACTCAAAGGTGTGAGAAAAAGCATGGCTGAACACCAAAATGTGGAGGAAAAAACCACTTTGAAGTGTTTAATCTGAGCAACAGGAAAGAAATACCACGCCAGCCATGGAGGAATTCCATCCTCAGGAGAGCAGGATTCTGGAAAGGCTCCCAGGAGGAATTGAGGGGACACAGGGACGTTCTGAGTGTCGCCAGTGTGGGACAGAGGTTGGCAGAGACAATCAGAGCTCCCCTCTGACCCTGTATTGATGTAAAAACACGGGTACAACCTCCTAGAACAACATCCAGAGCCCCAAATTGAAAAATCCAAAGTCAAATCGTGCCCTGTGTCAGGGGGACTGGCCAGAAACAGGCCCCCACCCCGGGATATTCCAGAATATTCCAATTATTGCTGAGGGGCAACACAGTTTCCAGTGGTTTAATCCAGAAATCCAGCAATCCTCGGTTTAATATTCTGTATTATTGCACATTTTCAGTCCTGTCACCACCAGAGATGGAAAATAAAAGTGCTGAAATGTAATGAGAGTAATTAGGAGATGTTCGTTAGGAGTTCTCCATCCACCTCTTTCCACCCAGGAAAACCACGGGTGCTGAAAGGTCCTGGACACCCCTGGACCTTCAGAACAGCTCTGAGATTCCACCCAGAACTATTATCCCAGAATATTAATGATTACTCAATAAAAAAATCCTTATTATTATTTTACCTTATTATTTCAGCTGGCGCTAAGTGGAGTAAGTGGTGAAATTCATCATTTCTTAATGAAGGTGACATCCAGGTGCATTTTTTATATTGAATTCTTTATATTTACATTTAATGTCTGTCCACGGGGGCCAGGTCTCCCCTGGCAGAACTTCTGGCCTGAAGGGAATTTAATTTTGAATATTTCATCAAGAATAAACCACATCAATTCTACTGCTGAAGCTCTCAGCTGCTCACTGTATTAATTCCACCAAGATATTACAATAAATCACTCAACAGCAAAACTCCTGGCTCAACCTGCTCCTGCTGAGTGCTACAAATAATTCCAAGAGAAAAAAAAATTAAAATAAATACATTCAAATGTATCTTTCAGGCGAAAGGAAGCACGTCCTGCTCTTTGGCAAAGTGAGTTATTAAACATCATTACACGCTTTTCTCTGAATTAAGCCTCAAAGCAGCCAATTGAGGGAGTAACACCCATTAAACTCACATTAACACTAAGTGACTGCACCTGTTTGAAACGGTATTAATCTGCAGGTATGAGGGATTTATAATAATTAACAACATTTATAATAATTAACACCGGAAAAATGAAACTTGAAATGAGTCTTCCAGGTTTAACTGGGCTAAAAAAAAAAACTGGTGTTTGAGCCCAAAGTGGGGCTCCTCCGACCCCAAAATCCTGGGACAGAGACTGGTTTTAAAAACAGCAAAATTAGGCAAAAACTCACTCGTGTTCATCATCAAAACTTTGACTTTTTTACTGCCCAGCAATTTAGGAAGAGTCCAAAATATAACTTTAAAGATTTATTCACCACGCATGAAATGATGCATTCACCTGGAATATTCAAACTCCACCTCAGCCAAAATGCAAAATATTTTCCAAAAGCACCTGTGATCATGATCTGAGGGTCCTTAATAATTATAGTAAATTATATAAATATATTATATTTATACATATAGATATAAATGGTCCTTATTTATAATAAATTATATAAATATATTATATTTATACATATATATATAAATTTATTTATAATAAATTCTCTCTGATGGGGAATGTGACCTTGAAAGAACATCAGAACCACTTTTAAAAAGTGAGAATTGGACAGGATCCCTGGTTTCAATTTATTTTCTTGGAGAGAGATGAAGCAGGGAACAACCAATAAATGAGACACTCTGGAGATGTCTGAATTTATGGAACAAAGTCCCTGATGCACTTTCCATCCGTGCTTTTTGAAAATTCAGGTTATAAAGAAATATCTTTGCGTTTAAAAGCGAATTTCTTTGCGCACAACCTGACTCTATTTATATTTATACCTGAATAAACTTCCAACTCAAACCATTTTATAAAGAAATTGGGTCTGTTCTTGCTGGTGCTGATAAACACATGGCATTGAAGCTACAATTAAAGGTTCAAGGGTATTTTAGCAAGGTGTGTGCTGAAGGCATTGCTACATTTTTGGGTTGCAGCCTTTTATTGATGCGCTGGAATTAATTTTTATTAAGGAAAATGCCACATCCCTCTGTTATCCTGCAGAAATGTGGGGTTTCCTCATCCCCCCATCAATGATTTACTCATCAGAGCGATTCCCCTGCACTGGCTTAACCTCCCAGCCCTGCTCTGCAAGAACTCCGGGTGGTGAAGCACCAGCAGAATTCCAAATGCATCTGAAATCAGAGCCTGAGCAGCGTTTTGGAGATGAAATAACAATTATCAGGTTTTTTGTCAGAGATGGGGATGTGGGAATGCCGTCAGAACCGTGATCCCTCAGGATCAGAGAGTGAATTCCACTGCTGATGCAGCCAGAGAGGGAAAAAATCTTCTCTTAAACCAAATTTTAGTGTCTACATTCCTGTTACCAGCTGAAACAATGACTGGGAACATCTACTAAGGGATTTAATTCCATCATTTCTTCTGTTTCCACTTGGCTCTGTGGCCAGACCCCTCTTAACGTTTCTGAACCTCTGAACCTCCACGCTGGAAAGATCAAATCCAGAGACAGATCTCCTCTGGGCCTTAAAAAAGTGGGATAATGTCCTCCTTTTTAGATAAAAAGCTGCTTGTTCTGAACGCCAGGAGCTGCTTTTCTGTGTCAGGGACGCAGGGAGTGGAAGGCCCTGGGGCCGTGTCCTTCAGAGATGAGAACTTTTCCCAGAGGGAAGAGAATTCTGGTGGTGATTCTCTGTTTTCCCTCAGACCTGATCGCGTTCCTGGGGCTGTATGAGGGGTTTGTGCACTCCAGGAACACGAGAATTTGGCAATTCCATGGAGTTTCAGAACGGTTTGGGCTGAAAAGGACCTGAAAGCTCATTTCAGCTCCAGCCCCGACACCTCCCACTATCCCAGGCTGCTCCAACCCAGCCTTGGACACTTGTAGGGATGGGGCAGCCACAAATTCCTTGGGAATTCCATCCCAGGGAAGGATTTCCCTGTGGATCCAGGCTCTCAGAGCCATCCAGCTGCCAAGGAAAACAGGCAAGGAGATGCAGGATTTGGGTCGTGGGCCCTGCGCCGCGCTCGGAGCTGCTCAGACACATCCCGCGAGCAGCGAGGCCCGGCCCGGCAAGTTCTGTCAGATACAAAGATCACAGATGAAATAAAGGTATTTTTGTAGCTCATTTTCCCCCTCCCATCTGCTGGGCTGGTCCAAAAGCACCCAACAGAGAAGTTTTCCCCTCAGCGAATCCAAGAATCCTCAGCGAGGTTCGGAGGCGTCGCTTCCCTCACGGAACACGCGGCGGGG